TCTCCCCCCATTTTACGAGTCTCTGCCTTCTAGCTGTTGGCTTCTGAATAGAAGTCAAATGTTTTTCCTTACCGAAACCAAAAACTCAAGAGTTTCCCATCTCAGGGTAAATCAACTCAGAGTTCAAGTTTTAACTCCGAGTTTGTTGAACCTCCTTTCTGGAATACACCCCAGTATAAAACACTTCAGCACTTTAAAAGATTTAATCTTTTTTTTTTACCTGGATGTCAGGGTGTTAACTGACAAAAAAAAACTGTGACTACGCAAATGTGCTGATAAATTAGTTTTTTTTTCTTCAATAGATTTGCAATATTTTTTCAAGACTTAGTAATTAGTGGAGGTCATTGGACATGTTGATGACACTGTTTCATAGCTATACATCATTTCAGTAACTTGCATAATTGATTTTATACTAATTGATGGAGTGATGTTGTCCCAAAATTCAGAAGCATTGACTATTTAAAAAATAAATAAAATTCACAAAAGTGCATTTGAAGTGGAACACACTACCAATTCACAAAACTAAAAGTAACTTTACTACACTACTGGAGTTGCTCTGGCATCCATGTGTGGATTACACTGATTTTGTGCATTATAATGGGTTTAAAAGACAAAAGCCTTCCAAAAACACAGTTATGCATGGTTAAATGACTCATTGGCTACTAATCCAAATGTTGATCAGATATTTTGAGAAAAAGGCTACCAAATGTTTATTATTTTTTTTAAAGTCTTGATGTATAATTCTTCGCAGTCAATAGAGATGCACAGGCAAAGTAATGTTTTGCCATGTGTCTCCTACAAAGTAAAACCATTTCTGTAAGTCTAGTGGTCACCTGTCAGTGGCTATAGAGTGTGGCTAGGAATTAATACATTTTTGTGCATGACATGCAATAACGTTGAGCATTTCAAAATGTAATATCTAATTACAGAATCTTTTGGAACCCGACTACAATGTTGAGCTGGTCTCCTCTGTTGGTTTTGTGGGCTCTGCAGCAGGTGCAGCAGCCTCTTCCTTCGGGGCAGCAGGTTCCTCAGCCTTGGCAGCGGGTTCCTCGGCCTTGGGGGTCTCGGCAGGGGCGGGTGTCTCCTCAGCCTTGGCCTCCTCCTCCTTCTCCTCAGCAGCCGCCCCGTTCTCCTCAGGCTTCTCTTCGGCGACCGGAGTGGACTCAGCGGCAGCTTCTTCCTTCACCTCGGCACTCTTCTTGTTTTTCTTCAGCGAGATGCCCTTGAATTTGAAGGAGTTCTTCAGGGAGAACTTCTTCTTCTTCTTCTTGGGGGTCTCCTTGGTGGCCTCGCCCTCGGGTTTAGCAGCCTCTCCCTCAGCGGCGGGCGCAGGTTCGATGGCGTCGCCGGCTCCAGCCTCAGATTCCTTGGCTGCCTCCGCAGAACCGTTGGTGGTGGCGGCATCTCCCTCTGCCTTGGCAGAGACGTCACCATTGGTCTTAACATGGCCGTTCTCCTGAGAAAGGAACATTAAATTGTCAGTTTAATAATGCAACACAAACCAACATGGATGAATCTTTACTTCGGGTCTACTATATATGTAGCAGGGCATTCCTTGAATCGTCGACGGACACATCAGTGACTCGTCACGTAAACAATGCATGTCTTCGAGGTGACGCCTTGCAGTACCGCGCACCGCCGAGCGAGGGCGATAGAGCCGCACACAACCCTCACAACGCCAACCGAGACGGCAGCTCTGGAACAAAAGACTGAGATCGAGCGAATTCCATTGAGCTTCATTCACTATTTATCCATCGACGATGGAGTAACTACAAACGTCGATTTAAAAAGGTAACATAAAATATAAGTACCCTCATTGATAAGAACGGGGTTTAGTCGCATAAAACCCCAAAAGCTTGACCAAATGTGGACTCTCGCCTCAGTGTCTAGACTTTAAAGCCCGAGCGTCTGCATATTGAGACTCCACGCGCTTCACAGAAAAAAAATCTAATCCGATTAAATATCGCGACTGTAAAGAGAAAAAACATAGTAAATAAACGATTAACTAAACAAAAACATGAAAAATGTATGTAGCTGAATATACGGAATACTAAAACTCCAATTACAACCAAATTTTCCAAATTGATCGCAACCCCCTGCTGATAACCCATGCAGAGTGAATACGTGCAGCATCCTCCGACACGGGCATTCAATGGAGATCGCATGGCAACAACACCGACCGTCTCCAAGCGCTAGAAACGGACTTTAAAGACGGAAAAAAACGTGAACATGTAGAAAAATATATATCCGTTTTTTAGCGCGCGACAGAAACCCGTGTCTGATCAGCCTAACGTAGTGCGATTTGCGTAGTGCCTCACGAATGAAATCGCTCGGTTTTCCCGCGTGCCACGAGACATGAAACGATAAATAAGACAGTGAATGGTAAGCTAGCATTTCTTTCTTTTTCACTACACACCAGCGCCTTCTCTATGTTTCATCGCTCTCAGAGCGAAGGTTAAATCGCAGACGGTGGTTTAGCAACTCTCGCAGAAGCACTTGTTGGTCAGATGTGGGTGTGTCGCAGATGGAGATGAATTACCTGTCCGTTAGTCTTGACGGCAGCCGGGTCAGCATCGGCGGCTTTCCCCTCCACAGCCACTCCTCCCTTTGATGCCTGGGATCCCATTATTCTTGATGTGGTTTTAATGTAAATTAAAAAGAACTCAAATTCAGGTAGGTGGGGAAAAATTAATCCAGACCAACGCGTGTAACGTGCATCCAATGGCGCAGGAAAGTTGGTGTTTTTTTTTCTTTTTTTCCTTTTATAAGGAACACTTGAGAAGATCCACTCTTGTCTTCCAGCCGTGAGCGTCGAGGGCGACCTACTACTACCAGCAGTCCTAGTGAACAGCGCTTGAAGATAACCAAAGCCCCGCCCATGGGCGTGCCTCGCTAACGTCAACCAATCCGAAATACGGCCCCGCCCTCACGAATGAAATCGCTCGGTTTTCCCGCGTGCCACGAGACATGAAACGATAAATAAGACAGTGAATGGTAAGCTAGCATTTCTTTCTTTTTCACTACACACCAGCGCCTTCTCTATGTTTCATCGCTCTCAGAGCGAAGGTTAAATCGCAGACGGTGGTTTAGCAACTCTCGCAGAAGCACTTGTTGGTCAGATGTGGGTGTGTCGCAGATGGAGATGAATTACCTGTCCGTTAGTCTTGACGGCAGCCGGGTCAGCATCGGCGGCTTTCCCCTCCACAGCCACTCCTCCCTTTGATGCCTGGGATCCCATTATTCTTGATGTGGTTTTAATGTAAATTAAAAAGAACTCAAATTCAGGTAGGTGGGGAAAAATTAATCCAGACCAACGCGTGTAAGGTGCATCCAATGGCGCAGGAAAGTTGGTGTTTTTTTTTCTTTTTTTCCTTTTATAAGGAACACTTGAGAAGATCCACTCTTGTCTTCCAGCCGTGAGCGTCGAGGGCGACCTACTACTACCAGCAGTCCTAGTGAACAGCGCTTGAAGATAGCCAAAGCCCCGCCCATGGGCGTGCCTCGCTAACGTCAACCAATCCGAAATACGGCCCCGCACATTATTGAGCGGCCCATGTCCCACCTCTTTTGATTTCGCATTAGGTCCATAGAAATAAAAAAAATGGTATCAAACTGGAAAGAAGATGGAACCGTCAGGGTGACTTGTTGAATTCTCTGGTTACTGAGAGCAATGGGGTTTCAGTTTAATTGAACCCATTGTACTACACTCTAAAGCTAAAGCATGTAAGACTGGTGCCTGTAGTTCATTATGCTCGACTGTCTTCAAGAGGACACTATTTAATGATTATTATCAGTGCATACTTTCACCTACTTCTCGCATAAACAACCTGTATGCTTCATTAAACGGTTCATGCTCAATAGTGAATACTATAGAACTGAATTAACAGTGTTAGATTACACTGACTTTTATATTCTGGCTTTAGAACTCCAGTGTTGGATTAGAAATCAATGCATGTAAAAAATAATTTTTGCTTGAAATGTTGAAATTTGTTATATTTACAATGAATTGCATAACATGACATAGGCATAAATGTGAATAAACAACAGCAAAACACATGGAATAAATACTGCACCAAACAATGTTTTCATGTTAGCCACATTAATAAGTAACATGTATTTGAACCAAAGTACCATAAAGTTTGACTGGACTCACGACCTTTGGCATTAAGACAAGCTATGAGAAGAGACATCTCCTCCCTTTTAAAATTTGATAAACCGATATATTTTATGATCCTGTCTGTATGATTTTATGGTTAGTTCATTTTATTATCTGCATTTAGCATGAGAACAGACCTGTGGCCCATTTTGAGGCTAAGATCTAAGACTGTTTTATTGGTTCTCACTGTTTATATTGATAATCAGATCGTCTCAAAGTGGCACCAAGGATTCCCCGAGATATATTATACAACATATTAATCTTTCTCCCATTTTTCATTCTCTTTCTCCTCTCGTCATGTACCCTTCTTGTTTAGTTTTTTTTCTCTCTTCGGCCTTGTAAATGACATAAAGTCTAAACTGTTTGTGGAGGAATGCGAGGCATGCAAACGCTCATGAAGAATGTTTCACCGCATCTGCATCTCGCCACTTTCTCAGAATGTCCAGAACCTCAGGGAGGGGGATCGGGGCAGAATACGTTTTTTGTGCGTGTCAGATGAGAGAATGTAATGAATAAGCTCATATATTGAAACAGTCTCCTCTTCTTCTCCAGGGAGAGAGTTGGGGGGTTGGGTGTGATGGAGTGAAGAGAAGGAGGGGGGAGTTTTCTTGTGCCCAGAGCTTTTGTGATGTGGTTCATTTTCTTGATGACGGGTCAGGACACATCACCTCATCATCCATGCGTCAGACTCTCGCTTTCCCCTTTCCTATTGGCTGAAAGGCCTTTATTGTCGCCAGATCATTCGAAGGTTGGAGGGAAGAGTAAATGGCCGGCGTCCTCCACAGTGAGGCCTGCGGTTCACACCTTCCATACAGCAGAGACTCTTCTTTAGCCTGGTGTTTCAATCCCTGTGGAGATGCACAGCCAGACAACAAATAGCTCCTGCAGGAGCAACATCTCGCATATGAATGTCAATGGGTGTGTTGATATGCCAATGATAGGCCCATCAGACCAGGCAGGGCAGGTGAGAACTGGTTTTCAGTTACCGTTGAGTTCTGTGACTGTTTTGACCACAGCAGGGAGCGAGAGAGGAGGATGGTGATGTGGATGCGGGGGTTGGTTGCCCTAAAGCATTATGGACTCAACTGAAACTAGATGCTGACTTTACAGAGTCCAGTGCAGGGAACGCGGGGGGAAATTTGCCAAGGAAAGAAGAAATTACACATTCAAGTCTCATAGAATTGTTCCCAACCAAAGCAGAGTTTTTTGGTAGGCTCAGTGGTTACCACTGTGACCTTTAGGTCAAGTGAGCAGAGTTTCCCAGATCCCCCTTGGTGCCTTTAACCGGCTTCTGAGCTGATGTGCTGCCCATCTCAGTGGTGATATCTCAATATTTATCAGTCTTTTGTTACATGTGTCATGTAAACTAAAACACAATCAAGACATGCTTCCCATGTGGTGTTACTTCTTTGTAATTTCGATGCAAAAACAGAGCAATCAATCAAATTAAACGGCAATTAATGTAGCCTACATTCAAAAATGTGGTGTCAGAAAGATTTTTCAATGTTTTTTAATTAAGTCTTTTATACTCACCAAGGCTGCATTTATTTGATCAAAAGTACAGTAATATTGTGAATTATGATTACAATTTAAAATGACAATTTTTCTAATTGAATTTTCAGCATCATTGCTATTAATAGTTTTCTTTGATGATTAGAACGTTTTAACTGTTTATTTGAATACTATATACTTTACTGTCACTTTTGCATCCTTGTTATATAAAACTATTAATTTCCTAAATAAAAAAATAAACAAATGTCTTTCTTACCCCTTGGTGTCGTGTAAATTTTATTTATTTACTTATTCATTCATTCAAAAAATCGTTAAAATATGAATAATATTACACGGAAATGTGATATTTTTGAGTGATGAGAAAAGTTGCCAGAGATCAAAGATCAGATGTGTGAAAGACTTTGAACTGATTCATAAAAATGAATCAAACTTTAACAGTTTAATTCTGAGGTGCTACTGAAACATCTAAACTCCCTCTCACAATTGGAAATCACAAGACAAGGAAGAACTGTAAAAAAGAAAAGAAAAAGAAAATATAGTCTAACCACAGGGCCTTATTAGAAGACTTAATGACTAAAAAAAGGTAAAATATGTACAATGTTGATACATGCTATATATACATATATATATTCTGCCCCGCTGACTCTCTTTAAGATAAAAGGCTGTGGTTTTCTGTGCATCCAAGATTTGAAAAATCTTCATTTAGATCTTGGAAAGCTTGTGGAGAGAATCATTCCATCCACAGCAAAAGATGCAACTATAGATGGGCAGATAACCCAAAACATGTCTGTGTGTGTCACGCATGAAACACAGGCTAAACAACAACACGCTCTCAGGAGCATGTGAGCTCTAGCGTGTGATCGATTCGAGCCACGATAATTATATAGGTTATGTTATTTTGTATAAGACCAAGGGCAAGACTCCATGACTCAGCAGAAGATACCGCACTCAGGGTCCCTCCGGGTGTGAGAGGCAAGAGCTTTGAGACAGAGTGCACTTTTAAACTTTAAACTCAGCTGTCTGGAAGAGAAGTCAGCACATGTTGTTGCTCCGGTGTCCTCTGAGCAAACTTCGCCCCCGATGGAAGTGAGAGCACGGGGGAGGACATCAAGGGGAGGTGCGTGACCCACTCCAAACTCTGTCTATTTCTGATGCTTAATAGCATATATCTCTCTCTAAGATACGGCCTAGGGGCAGTTGACTGGTTTCTGCTATACTTGACGTGGGGCATCTTATCTCTTTCTTGTTTTTTCTTCACAACACTCAATGGCCCTTTTTGTTTGGTTGCCCAGATTTCATGCCTGAACACAGAGTGAGATTTATATCCTCAAAAGGCCCTATTGTTCTCCATTCAGAAGGCAACTGATGAGCATCACAAGCTGGGATGAGGGGAGGGAAAGGAGAGAGAGAAAGAGCCAGAAGAGAGATGTAACATTGTATTGCTTAATAAATCGATGCATCACAAATTACTCACTCAATACAGTTTCACACATCGACAAGTTTACACAAACATCCCTTTTTTATCTTCCTATTAACTGAAAGATTTGACTAAACAGTTTTGCCAGCTGTGGAAAATTTCTGTGTTGCAAAAGAATGGTGCCATTTTAGCATTTTTCTTCTTCTGAATTTTCAGTTTTTTGTTCAGTTTCCACACCAGAGGTGACTTTTAGCTCATTAAACGTACTCTGCTATTATCCAAAACATGACTGCTGCTTTAATCTGGCCGCCGTCATCGATCAGTAAAACGAGATAAGAATCTCCGGAGACAATGGCAGCATATGGCATGGCTTTTTAAGAGACAGATGTTCAACTCAGGCAAAAATGAAGGCAAGAAAATAATCTTGACTTTAGCTTTGAGCCTTAGTGTGCTGGAGGGTCAAAGGCCAAAGGGTCACTCAGCTCTGGGGCGTTTTCTTAGATGTTTCGTATAAGGCCTGACTAGCATGCCACAATAATAAACTATCTGGTCTGGAAACAAAGTTTAGAGAGCTGCACCACACATTACCCTACGAGCAGCTCCTCATCCTCCAGGTCTTGATGCAGTTAAAACATATCAGTTTATCACATAAAAAGTTGTTTGTTGATGTTTTGTAATCAGTGACAACAAATTTAATATGCAGAATCGGACAGGACAGGACAGAAGAGTTCAACCAAAAATGAATGTTTTGTCATCAAGATTTTCCA